GGGTTTGCTGCTCTGCCTTCTCCTTGGCTGACACGCGGAGGTGATCTGACCCCTGTTTTCTCCCTCCCAAACTGTCTTCCAGTTGCTTTCCTGTCAAAGCCTCAAGGCCTGGTTACTCCCAAGAAGAAAGGGAATGGGAATAAAAGAAGAAAAGGCAAAGGCCTGGGGAAGAAGAGAGACCCGTGCCTGCGGAAGTACAAGGATTTCTGCATTCACGGCGAATGCAAATACATCCGAGAGCTGGGAGCTCCCTCCTGCATGTGAGTTGCAGGCGTGTGCCTGTGCCGGGGGAGCCTTTGTCACGGTTCCTGCAATTCTCCGGGCTGGGCAGAGGAAAAGCAGAGGAGATATTTTTAGTGCATGTTGCTCATCCATGTGGGGACAGCTCTGAGTTGGCCTCTTCCTTGTGCCTCTTGAGCAGTGTCCATCCCCGGCCAAATCCATCATGGATTTAGACCCAGCATCCCATGCCAGCACAGTGAGCTCTGGCTGAGCTGCTGCACAGAGACCCTTGGGGCTGGGGAGCAGGGGCTGGGGTCTCCCAGCCAAGGTCTCCTGCAGGTCTGTTTTGCAAGGCCCAACCCTGGCCCTGGAACCTGTCACCCCTGTCCCTCGCTGCTGCCAGCCTTGGGCCGAGAGCCCACAGCTCCCGCAGCTGTCAGGAGGTGCCCACACGGGCAGGAGGAGCATCCCTGCCACGGGGACAGCCTGCCACTGCCATGCCCACACTGTCCCTTGGCCCTGAGGAGGGACAGGGCTGTGCACCCCTCCTCCCCATCCCCTGGGATGTGGACAGGGAGCAGGGACTGTAAGGGGCAAGTGGAGGAGCGAGCATTTGCCTGCTGCCAGGGCACCTGGATCCCACAGTGCTCCCGTGGGAAGTACCCAGGGGTGCACACTTGATCCCTGCTGACGTGGGCAGGGGTTGAGCTGGCAGATACATAAGAGGCTTTGTTCTTCACTATGAATCCTCTGAGCCAACCAGCCCTTTGCCTGGAGTCCTGGGAAGATAATAGCTCCCTGGCTTATGGTGCTCACAAGATCTCACGCCCTGCAATCCGCAGGGATCAGGCTACTTGAACTGCTTAGGTTCTCTCTGCCTGGAAGCCATTGGTGAAGTTGGGCCCTTGCACAGGGTGCTCGGGACTGCCAGCACGAGGAGATCTCTGCTGACTCAGCTTGCGCTGGTGACCCACTGTGACATGGGGTGCAGCACCCTCTGCCTGGGACTGGGACACCCAGGTGTCCCCTGCCCAGCCCCCTTGCCCTTCCCAGGTCCCTGGGGCTGGGGGAGGACCTGGGACCTGGGTAAGCAGGAGGGCTCCGGGGACTGGCTGAGCATGGCCCATCCCTGCGTGACATCTCTGCAGAGCCATCGTGGCTTTTAGGAACAGCAGCCAACTGCCCCAGTCCCTTCTGATGCTGAGGCCTCATGCTGGCCGGCATCACTCGTTGTGCCTGCTCTTGGTGGCTGCTGCCCATGGCGCGGGGTCTCCTGGGTTGTCGCTTCCTTGAGCTGGTCCCTGGGGCATGGGGTGAGGATGTTGCCCAGCTGGGTCCTGCGCCTCTGCCTGGGGTCAGCCACACTGCTGGGGCCGGGAGGTGATGCTGGCATGTGGGCAGGAGGGCTGGGCTGAGACCTCTCCTGGAGAGAAGCTTGAGGGTCAGTTGCACTGGCTGTAGAGCTAGGTATATATATAGATCTGGTGGCATCAGTGCCCTTTGGTCACAGGGAGGGCTGGCAGCCTTGCAGCTCTGCTGGGGAGCAGTATTTCTGTTGGGTGAGTAACCTCCTGCTTCTGCCTCTCTGGCTGTCAGGGTGTGCAGGGACATCCCGCTCTGCAGGGAGGGCTGAGCTCCAGTCCAGCTGCCTCTGCTCCCTTGTGGGGCACTTCCCCCTTCCAGAGGTGGCCCCAGCAGCCTGGCTCTGTCTGGGGAGGACTGGGAAGAGCAGAGTCTCCCGTGCCTTCTACAGAGGGGAGCTCCATCTTTGTCAGAGCCTTGGTGCTTGGGGCAGGAGAAACTTAATTCACCAGTGCCAGGGAGGTGATGGTGACACCAGACCTCCCAGCTCAGGGGAAGGGGACCAGGAGGAATGGGCAGGGTGCTGTCTGAGGCTGAGCAAAGACTCAGCCCATTACCACAGGGGTGTCAGGGACTCAGCAACATTCTGTGCTTGGTCACCATGAAACCAATGACCCAATAACCTTTGGTGCTTGGTCACCACGAACCCAATGACCTAATAACCTTCAGTGCTTGGTCACCATGAACCCAATAACCTTCTGTGCTTGGTCACCACAAACCTTTAAGACTTTTCTTCTCGCCCAGATGCCAGCCAGGATATCATGGAGAGAGATGCCATGGCCTTTTGCTGCCTGTGGAGCACCCCCCCAGCGCCTACGACCACACCACGGCGCTGGCTGTTGTTGCTGTCGTCCTGTCCTCCCTGTGTCTCATCATCATTGCAGCCCTGCTGATGCTCAGGTGAGTGGGACAGGGCTGAGCCATCAGACACGTGTCCCCGGGAACACCACCTGCAGGGGACAGTGGCAGGGACTCTGTGCTCTGAGCATCTCTGTGCTTGGCCTCACAGGTGTCACAAGAGGGGTGTCTACGATGTAGAAAGCGAAGAGAAGATCAAGCTGGGCATCACTGTGAATCACTGAGGATGCCACGTGCTGGCGAGGTGAGCTCCTGGCCGGGCACGGGGCAGCAGAGGGGCTGGTGGGCATCTGGGGGCTCTGCTTGTCCACGCTGGCTGGGACCGCGGCATGGATCCTGTGCTAGAGCCAGGCAGGAGCTGAAGGCAGTTTGAGCCTGGAGAGGCAGCTTGCTGGATTTGGCCTGAGAGCCTGGGCTGCTCCAGGGGGCTCCCATCCTCTTTTGTCCCCTTTGTGCTCAAGCCCCTGTCCCCCTAACACCACCGGCTGCCACCACCTCCTCCTTTCTGACCTTAAGTCCCTGCTGTGCCCTGTCACCGCATGCTTTGGGGATGTTTGGCAGTGGGGAAGCTGCTTCTGTTTTGGTTTTTTTTTTTGTCTGTTTGTTCTCTGACCCTCTGAGTCACTTCCCCTCCTTAGATATTGCCTCT